CCCCAAAACCCCAAAACCCCAAAACCCCAAAACCCCACTTCGCAATAGTCAGGTTGAACCACCCCAATATGCCAGAATTAACAACTTCAAGTGTTTTGGGGTAAAGATTAAGCTCCTAGTTTATCTGTGTGGAAGAATTAGCTGTGTTATCAAATAGCATAGATTTGGCTTTCTCTTCAGCTTCTTCCGGATCACTGAGCTTGTAAAATTTCTCTAATCTTTCTGGTTTATCTCCTTCAAGTTCTTCTGGTTTAGTAGAGCCATTCTTTTTTGGGAATAAAATGTACTTTTCAAGGTTCATAAATGGGACCTCTCATAGCATGGTTACAGGAATAGCGAATAGGAATGAGAAGGCTGTAGCTCCAATCCCTGTGAAGAACTGCGTCAAAATTGTAATATACATCCCTGATCTCATATCATTAAAGAAATGGAAAAGAAAAACACAATGGATTAAGTATACTACGTAATTAAGTCTCGCGAGTACCTGGAAGATATCTGCAGACAAGAAGCCTTTGATTACTCTGAGTCTTCCCACAAAGGTTGGCACCAAAATTAGACCAACTCCTGTCACGAAGAGAGGTCTCGAGAATACGTTAAACAAGACCGATGGGAGCAGTGGCCAACAGTTGAGGTTTCCATAGAGTCCTCCAATCCCGCAACTTCTAAAATAAGATGCTTGTGGAAACACAAAGATTGCTGTCAAAGCAAGACCTATCACAAAGGATACAAGAGAAGCCTTCCTTGAGTTTCTCAAGAAGGTATAAATCCTACTAAACACAGTGTGTGATAGTTCAGAATATTTTTGAGCATTAAATGCTTCAAAGTAAGAGATTCCAAATAAAGCTCCTACAAAGTAAGCACCCATTCTGCTCCAAGGTTTGTTGTACATAAGACTTTGCATATCAGGACCGTCTTCAGACACCCAAAAGATTGATACATCCCAGATTGCGGTAAACACCCCATTGACAATCATCGAAATGATTACCAATACGAGAGGGATAAGCTTGCCAATTTTCTTATTCATGCAGTACAAGAAGATAATGGGAGGACTTAAAATAAAGAATTGCATATCATTCATCAGGAACCACACCCATATGATGCAAGTATCAATCAGCTGCCATGGGTAAAAATTAGCAATAAATAAGAAGTTTTGCCATGGGTTTTTGAAGCATGCTACATTCAACTTATCCCAAGTTTGTCTATAGAAATTTTAAAGCCAATTGTCTTAAGAAATTTATCAGAAAATAAAAATACTTTTGTGACGACACGAAAATTTAATTTTTTCTGTCAGATAACCAACAGAAGATACCGAAAATTCTTACCTGTAATAGGGTCCACTTCCAATATATCTCGCTAAAAACATGGTGAAAAGCTGCACGAACACAAGAGGGAAGATAAGTATATAGTATCGATGGAAATAAATCAGGCAGTAGTTGCCTATTCCGACTCTTCCTCTTTTTGGATACAGATTAGCTAATAACAAAGCAAAAGTGAGGAATCAAGATAGGAAAAAGAAAGTGTCTACAGCAAACACTCCAGCTGCAATGATTGAGAAGAGTTCATTGTTGAACATCTCCCCGGCTGTCATACTGTTGACAACTGGGTAGAAGAAAATGAATGAGAATGAGTGTCCAAGTATAACCCAGCAGATGCTCAACACTCTGACTCCATTTAGAACTTGGAGGGTCCTATCACCTCCTTCTTTAACTGTGAATAATTTACTGACGTTTTCATAAGGATTAAAGGAATGAAGAGCTAAAGCCCACTTTTGTTTCCTATCCTCTATTCTCTGTGAGATCGGGTTACTTTTGTTCCCAAAGTTAGTATAAGTGACTATCATTCCAAGAATCCAGAGGAGCATAATCGAACAAATAAGGGCTATAACCACAATAGCTCCAGAGGACATCGGCTCAGCTAAGATTTCTCTCGAAACTTCAACAGAAGTCTTTAATTTAGTATCAGGAGGCATTATTGATCTAGCTTTTTCTAAGATAAGATTTGAAATATCTCCATACTTTTCTGCAGAATTACATTCTCTAGGACTGCAAATGCCCAGCTTGGCAATCGAAAAGTTAGTATCCTCCATAATAACAGAAAATAGGATATAATCAAGACCCTCGCTATGACAAGCTTCAAAATCTCCCAACTGGTTGATTCCTTTCCCAGTGTTTAGAGCCATACTAAGCAAATCTCCAGCTCCTTCAGGGGACAAGATGGTTCTTAATTGTTCCAAACATGGGTTATCTTCTTCATCAGTGTCATTAAGCCAAGGTTGTTTCTGTTGCGCAACGGCGGAGCCGAGGAGCACTATTCAAAAGACAAAAATAAACGCCTTCATTTCTATTAATATTACTTAATCTGTTTCAATTTATACTAGCCCTTGTGGGGTTTTGGGGTTTTGGGGTTTTGGGGTTTTGGGG